AGAGGAATAACTATGACAGTGGCCGTTGCATATTTTGATTCCAGAAAATATCATGTTGTTGTGCTTGACTCCCCTGGCCATAAAGATTTTGTTCCAAACATGATATCTGGGGCAACACAAGCTGATGCTGCGATACTTCTCATAGATGCTTCAGTTGGCGCATTCGAAGCTGGTGTGGATGGTAGCAAGGGACAGACAAAGGAGCATGCACAACTTATCAGAAGCTTTGGTGTTGATCAAATTATAGTTGCCGTGAACAAGATGGATATTGTTGAGTACTCCAAGGATCGGTTTGATTTTATTAAACAGAGACTTGGAACATTTCTCCGTTCCTGTGGCTTCAAAGATTCTTTGGTGTCTTGGATTCCACTGAGTGCCATGGAAAATCAGAATTTGGTAGAAGCTCCTTCTGATGCCCGTTTTTCTTCTTGGTGAGTTTGCTTGCTTTTTCATCTATTCAAAATCACTACCGATGATGGATATGAGAAGAAAAGTAGTATTTATTTTATACGCAGGAGCAAACTTAGAAATCAAGTTTTTACTATTATTTAGTTTCTATTTATTAGTTTTAGAATGTGGGTATTAGTTTATTAGTGGGCTTAGTTATAGGGTCTAATATTGTATTGCAGATTTTTGTTGTTATGGAATTTTTCCCTCTCTCATAGGATCTTAATCTTTTACTTATGTGAACTCTTCAGATCATTTGGAAGCCATTGTATTGAAAATAATGGAATAGTAACTTCTTTTATGTAAAATATCTTCTTTAGGGCCCATATAATGCAATCCTATGCTCATGTTCTGATAGTAGCTCACCCTAAGAAGTAAATAATGTAGCATCTTAATGAAATTTGTTGGAGAACTTTTCCTTTTGTGCAGCTGTTATTGTAAATGAAAAATAGTCTGAGGTAACTGAAATGCAGGTACCGTGGACCTTACCTGTTGGATGCAATTGATTCCCTCCAACCTCCCACAAGAGAGTTTTCAAAGCCACTGCTCATGCCTATATGTGATGTCATTAAATCTTCTTCACAAGGACAGGTATCTGCTTGTGGTAAATTGGAAGCTGGAGCTCTCCGAAGTGGATTCAAGGTATGTTGGTGGGTAGTACTAGATGTCGTTGTGAGTAATCTAACTAAAAGTTTGGTCCCTTCCCAAATGGATAGTTCAGTGAATCAGTTAAAACCATAGATTTCATATGTTCAAGAATATCCACGCACATGTACATACTTACATGTAAGTGTGCATATGGGAAAATATTCTTTTATCAGACTGGTTGATGATCCGCATTCTATGCTATTGATCAGGTGGATCGTGTTTGAAACTTTAAATGTGTAGTCTGAATTAACAGTCTGACAAGAGAACCAATTCCAATGAAATGGAACAGTACATTCACACAATTGGATTTTGTTGGTGTGGTCTAAATTAAGTCTGACAAGAGAACATTGTCCGGTGTATAAACAATTCCAATAAAATCCAATTGTACGTTCAGGCAATTGGGTTTAATAGGAATTGCTTATACTTGTATAGCAACAGTTTATTGCGCTGTGGTTTTTATTGACATGAGCTATTGAATTGGCCGTCTGTGTCTCTTGTTATTTCTTGGATAAAGTTGATCCATACGATTTGATGACAGGCTCATGCATGTTCTAATGCAAGTAATCCATTTTATAATCAGATTTCTGGTCTAACCAAATCAATTATATATGAGTGAACAGTTCCTTTGCTCCACCACCCTTGTATCTTTCCTTGTACTGTAGCCATAATGAGTTAATTGTGTAGGTTCTGGTTATGCCTTCGGGAGAATTAGGGACCGTACGCTCTTTAGAACGTGACTCTCAGGCTTGTGTAATTGCGAGAGCTGGTGACAATGTGGCTGTTACTCTGCAAGGCATAGATGGAGGTCATGTGATGGCAGGAGGTGTGCTCTGTCACCCTGGTTTCCCAGTTGCAGTTGCAAAACATTTGGAATTGAAGGTGCTGGTTTTGGATGTTACAACCCCAATTTTAATTGGCTCTCAGGTCTGTATTTTATTTGCGTGACAAATTACTTTGCTGTTTGCATCACTGTTGTTTTATGGAAAGCGATCTAATATGACTGGAATGAGCAGTTGGAATTTCACATACACCATGCAAAGGAGGCTGCCAGAGTTGTAAAAATATCGTCATTACTTGATCCCAAGACTGGCAAAGTGGCAAGAAAGGCTCCTCGCTGTCTTACTGCAAAGCAGAACGCCATTGTAGAGGTGAATAAGATCAAAACCATTCCTTGCTGTTTTGCAGGTTAATTGTGCTGTACTTTTGGTATCAATAGTAACCAATCCTTTCCTGCTCTTATTTCAGGTTGTTTTGCAGCAGCCAGTTTGTGTGGAAGAGTTCTCTAATTCTAGAGCCCTTGGGAGGGCTTTTTTAAGGGCATTAGGAAGCACTATTGCCGTTGGCATTGTAACCCGGATTATAGAGGAGCAGAAATAGTTCATTCACCGTTCCGGTTGTGCAGGGAGAATATGATCAATTGGTCATACACTCATACCAACCCGCAATGGCGTTTCAGGGTTTAGGTCAGTTTTAAAAGTGGTTATATTTTGGGGTTGAATTGTTTTCTTTATAACAATTTTGGGGTTTGGTTGTTGTATGTGCATTAAGCAGTCTCGGCTCAGAACTTCATATACACATGTACACCACACCAAGTGGTTTGTACTTTGTAGAGGACTCATTTGTAAAATTTATTGGTTCTTTCATGCATAATGGTTAATATAAGGTCTACAATATTAATTATGTAAAATGAAAATTCATATTTGTCAATTTTTCTTCTCCATTTCATTTTCCTTTGGCAAGAGAGAAGAATAAATTAGTGTTTTACACTTTATAAAATGGTTTCTTCTTCCTTTCATTTTAAGTTATTTCTAAACCCCGACTTGTTCTTAAAAAATAAATTACAAAAATACAAAAAGAAAAAGAAACCCAATTTGTGAAAGTCATTGCTCATTGGTGTGTAATTTTCTCATCTTTTTTATGTTGTTATTGATTAAAAAAAACTATTTATGTTATTTTTAAACTAGAAAATTCCAAGCACGCAATTATTTACAAACTATTTACGTTTGAGCGAATCCAAATCGCATGCAAACTACAGAGAAATATCATTCTAGGATTAATATTCACATTTAAAGGTTGACTATCTTTTATTCTTCCTTAAACAAATGTTGTGTAATTCAATATTTTTTTAAATTTCTCTCTACTCTCTAGCACGAGATGAAATCCATGATATACCATAGGATCTACATGAAATTTGATTGATGTGAGAGAATTGAGAGAAAAAAAAAAAGAGATTTGGTTCCTTTATTCAGTTCTCATTCTAATTAAAATAATTAGGTATTAAAATCAGCCACTTGTCATTTTGAATAAACAATGTCATAAGAGATCATGAAATCGATTTACACTTGCACGTCTAATAAATATTATTGAAAGCTTCAATATATAAATTTTTTCTTTTTATGATGTTTTAATATTTTGTTGCTTACTGCGAAAATGACATTTTATTACACAAGAAAATGATAAATAAAAAAATTATTTAAATAAACAAAAAACAAAAAACTGTGGTATTTGACTTTGGAGTTTGGGGAATGATGAATTGCAAGGAGCTTGACTTTTTTGGAACATGCAAGTACTTAACCGGGTTACCGCCCACCAAAGTGGGTACAACTCCACACCTCACATGCAAGTCAATTTGATCGATGTTTTTTTTGGGTCAACTTTGGTTGATGTTTGATGAACCATGACATAATAAAAAGCAACTTTTACTAATAATGACAAAATGAAGCACTTAAACCCCAACAAAATGATAGAAAACGAAATTATTACTATGATTTACTTTTATGTTGCTTATTGATTTATATTGATCAATCATTTAGACATTATTATAATTCAGTAACGCTAAGTATTATTGCGTAATAATATCTGAAAATCTCTTAACCAGAATATTAGATTTACTATATTGACCACATTACTGATTATCTCTCTAATACGAGGAGTGCAAATATTGTTCCCTAATCAATGATTCCTATTATCAATTTAAAAGCACAACATATTAAACAAGAAAAAAAAATACTGTTCTTATGTATGTGGAATATACACATGTATGTAAATACATTCATTATCAAATATAGTAACTAATTGAAGGAAAAACAAAATTACATGAATATACCCAAAAAGAAAAACAAATTTTATGGTTTAAGCAGCAGACAATCCATAATCCACTCCCCACATATGAAAGAAAGAAGTTCAGTGTGAATGGCTTGCTAGCCTAATGGATTCTGTCACTGTCACATGAGTTTGGTCAAAGAAGCATAAGGGTATATTAGTCAATTTACCAACAATTTTGGATGTATAATTTGCCTTTTATATATCATTCTTTTGGGAAAGGAAAAAAAAAAAAAGGAAGAAAGAGAAAGAGACCCTACCTACTCCTCAAAAACTGACCTCTCTCCCCAATCACACACGCATAAAGGAAGAGAGACCAAGAATGCTCTCTTTTACTCTCATAAATTAAACAAAACAAAAAGAAAAGGAAATTAAAATTCTCTCATTCCCTGCCTCTCCCTGTCTCTACCCAGAGGGGTTTTGCATTTTTCAATCGAAGATTCTCACATATTAGGTGAGCCAGGTTGCAAATTTTGTGTCTCAGTTTCTGGGTTTCGTTTTTCTCTTCCAATTTTTATTGTTGTGCCTCAATTTTTGGCCTTGGCCTTTTTTAATTTAAGTGAATACCCATTAGCGTAAATGTTTCATCTTTTAACATTTCTTCAATGATTTTGCTGCCTTGGTCGTTTTGTTGGATCATTTGCCAGTTGACTGAATACCCAAGTCCTGGTTTGATCAGTTGTGTGTGTTGTGTGATTGCTTATTGATTCTGATTCATATTTGCTCAGAATAACTATGAATCTTTGGTGTTTATGCAGGTTTAATCAATTTATTTAATGTTTATAATTTTGGATTGATTAGTTTGTTATTGACCCCATTTCAGCTTCATGGATAGTTTCGAATCGTTAAGAGTTGTTGCTGGGTTTGCTAGTATGTATGAAGCGTATGGGTAATGGGTTATTGAATTTGATTAAAGTCAAATACTAGTCTTAAAATATGCTGAAGAAGTTGCTTATTGAAATTGATTTTCCTGTGGGGGCTGTTTGCGCCTGTTGACTTTTCTTTTGGTTGTTCTATTCAACTCTAAACCTGAAGAATTGGAGATAAACATACCGCGTAACATCTTGGCTACTGAAACCAACTCAGAAGAATTAAATAGATTGATCTTATATATAGATATTATTGTGTTCTATATTGTTTGGTTACTCAGCTTAGCTAAATCCATATAGTAGGTCATGGCTGCTTTCTAAGAAAAAAAGAAATGTCTTACCGAACATGTTTTACCGGCCTCTGTTCAAAAAAATTTAGTCCGGATTCTCTGCAAAGCCTACTTTTCTTGCTATCATGCTGAACATTTAGGTCATAGATTAAGGTAGTATGCTAATCTAAGAGCAGTTTTGTGAGGTTTTTTAAACTGGTTTGAGTTTTGTGTTGTTCAAACTGGTGTTTCTTGGCTCACTACAATCTAATATCCCGTCGGTTTATGTCCTTTATAAGGTTCCTCTAATGTGCCGTAATAACTCCAGTCAGTGGAAATTTTATTTTTAATTATGGGTTATTAAAATTTTCATCCAGAGTATAGAATGTAGGGAACAATTTTGCAGTTCTTCATATAGCTTGCGTTTCACCATCCATCCATACTTATTGTGATCATTTACAGCCTTTTGTAGGATGCTATCATATGGGATAAGTGACTGTTGACCTGGAAGATTGTGTAGTTCATTCTCAGAATTCCCATTGGTTAAGTGGTGTGTCTGATCCAAGCGTGGGGTGCATTGTCATGTGCTTGTGCCAATTCTAAATAATAGCCCCCTTCATGGCCTTTAAAGCCTCTAATGAAAGAGGAATTGGGCTTCAACCCAGTTCATTCAATATGGAAGATGTTGAATTAAATACAAATTGGGAAGATGTGACTTGTCCTATATGTTTGGATTTCCCTCACAACGGTGTACTCCTTCAGTGCTCATCTTATGAGAAAGGATGCCATGCTTTTGTTTGTGATACAAACCACTTACACTCCAATTGTTTAGACCGTTTCAAAAGTGCATATGGTATGTCATCTCCTTCAAAATCTGATGTGAGTCCTGCAGTAAGTACTGAACAAATGGCATCAGAAGAAGATTGCAGGCCTACTTGTCCCTTGTGTAGGGGGGAAGTTACTGGGTGGGTTGTTGTTGACAAGGCTCGTAGACATCTAGATGTGAAGAAGCGTTGTTGTGAGGAGCATCAATGTACGTTTATGGGTACATACTTGGAATTGCAAAAACATGCTCAACTAGAGCATCCTCATTCTCGTCCTTCAAAAATTGATCCTGCTCGGCAGCTTGATTGGGATAATTTCCAGCAGTCCTCCGAGATCATAGATGTTTTGAGCACTATTCATTCAGAAGTCCCTCGTGGGGTGGTTTTAGGAGACTATGTGATTGAATATGGTGATGATGAGACTGGAGATGAGTTTGAGGACTTCCATGGGGACGAACGTAACTGGTGGACCTCCTGTATCTTATATCAGGTTTTTGATAACTTACGAAATTCTAGAAACAGAAGAAGGTCAAGAGTTGGTGATGCAAGAAGGGGAAGTCGCCGAGCAAGCTACGATAATTCGAATTCTGATGAAGGTTCTGTGGCATCTGTTGAATTCCCTGAGTATAGAGCAGATGAGACTGATGATGATTTTATGAGTACAAATGGCTCCTCCAGGGGTGGCTCCAGTCATCGCAGGTTTGTGATGTTTCTTTTTCATTCTTGTATCTTTGGATTTTAATCTTTGCCTGCATGATTTGGCTGACAGTATCTTTCTATTTACAGTTGTGTTTGTACATCAACTTTTATGAATTAAATTGGAACGCATAACTTATCTTTTAATATCGTATATCCCCACCTAGTCATGGCGAGGACACCTGCTGCAAGAAATCTAGTACACCATCTTACTGAAATAAACTTAAAAAATGCACCGTATGATTCATTTTCTCATTGGACTAGCTACCTGTGCCAGTAGGAATCTCTTTAAGTAGGGGTTTGGGGAGCTCAGCACTTGCACATGCGCATACTAACTGTTGAGCTTTATTGCTCTCGTTTTAGTTTTGTAAGAGTAGGTAGAGTTTATTGGTTTCTAGTCTTTACCTAAAACTTATGCATTTTGCTCTTTTATCTGCAGTTCACGTAGACGTCGTTCTCGCTTCTATGACATTTAGGTATGCTCTACTCGTGGATCTTACGCATCCTCTTTTGTGCAGGTGAAGTTTTCCCTGCAATGGCGTTTTCATGAAGTAATCTATCTATACCAGTATATAATAAATAAATAAATAAATAAAAACCAACTCATTTTCCGTGTACAGTACATCTATCAATTCCATGAATTTTAGCACTATTTTGTGAACAAGTAAATCTCATTAGATCTGTATTATATATCTTGTGGCAGTGCTTAACTAGAGTAGAAGTGAAGGGGCAAGAAAGAGATTGCTGTGGATCTCTTCAGTGGTTTGTTTACATGTAAAAGCAAGCTACATCTGGATTGTATATTGTTAGATCTGCAATGAGGTGTGCTGATTGGACATTACATGACACATCCGTGGGTTCCATGGGTCCCTTTTGTTGCTTAAAAGTCTAACCTTTGCTTCATATCTTATTAATTTGTGGACTAATTTAGTGTTTACTGTAGTCACCAAAATCTCCTTCCCCCCTTCTCACTCACACTTTCTCTACACTCGTTAGTCTTTAAGCTTATTTTCTCAGCACACCTGTTAAAGTTTTAAAATTAATTTTTTTCTTTTTATTTTTACCTTTATAATCCTGAAAATATGCATGGCTGAAAATCTTTTCTTGCTTGGTGACGATGATGTGAATGGATTTTTTCTTCCTTTTTTTTCTTTCTCAAATCGATAATTTTCTTTTTGCCAACGTCAGGAAGGGGGAGGGGGCTATTTGTCATAAACATGATCAAGGTGTCATGGAATTTCGATATGCAAGTCAAGACTCATTTTCACTGGGCACTAGCTAGACTTTGTTGGCCAAATCGATAATTAGTATGTAATTACTTTTTAGAGTGACCAATTTATATCAGCATATTTTTCTTTCTACCCGAATTATTCTCTTCCGCCTCTGTTCCAAGGACAAAGACATCTCTCTTGCTACAGCATATTCAATGATAGTCTAAAAGAAAAATCATAAATGATTTATTTCATTTTTTATTTTAGCATAAATTCTCCCTCTTTATATAAAACTAGCCCTTTCACGCATGTGCCAATTGGTTTTATTTTTTATTTTATTTTTAGAATTAAGAAAAGATAATATGAGTAGTTATGTTCCATAAAAGTAGGACTTATTATCTGATTTTGTTTTTAATTTTAATTTTTTTAATATGAAAAAAAATGTAAATTTACCATATTATTCTCATTTAATTCAAAATTTTAATTCTTAATATTTGAATTAACTAAGGGCATTTTCTGGTATTTTGAATGTTTCACAATTCTCTATCTTTTGCTTTATATATATAGATAATAATAAAAAAAATAGTTATTTAAATAAATGCTTAAAATAACATTAAATTAAAGCAGCATTTAATTATATGAGCCACTAGAAATCCTTTATCTCTCCTTAGATTTAGGAGCTCCAAAAGGTCATATTTTAGGAGTTGGAACTTGGAGGTGGGTTTTCTCATTTCCTCCCTAAATTTTATCCAAGGATATGGATTCCATTATGGATGTTCTTAAGCCCCGTTTGGTTCACAGAATAAATTTAAAAGGAAATTATTTCCCATGTCATTTCCCAAGGAATGGGAATGAAAGATTCCTTTCTCACGTTTGGTAATGTCAAGAAAGTAATCGGGAGATTTCAATTTGTTTCATTTCCCATGTTTGTTTTAAGTAGGAATGAAAAATAAAATTTGTATAATTTTTCAATTATACCCATATTAAATCAAATAAAAAAAGAATGCATTTAATGATATGTTGTAATTATAAATTGTTCATAGGGACAAAATAGTCATGAAAATTGTACATTGAATGTTAGCTCATTTTTCCAAACTTTCCCATGAGGAGGGAAAACAAAACCCAGGTTAAAAGGAGGGCTTCACTTTCCCCCTTACTTTTCCATGTGCCAAGCAATCATTTCCCATGTCTGGACTTACCAAACATGGGAAAGCAATTGAATTCCCATTCTCAAGCCTCCTTTTTCCATGAACCAAACGGGGCTGTTAAATACCCTAATTCAAAATTAACCAACAGGACAGAGCACATATTAAGCAGCCAAATCTTCCCAAAAGATGACCATGAAAAAAACCCAGAAGTAACGAAGTATCTCCTGCGAATTAACATAAATATTAAAATTGTTTTTCTAATTATGTAGAAAGAAAAAATATATATTTCGTACAAAACATAGACATTCATACCATAACACTTGCAAAATATTGCTATTGGTAAATTGTAGTTCATACAAAAGAAATCTTGCCACTTGCTATGAATACTCAAACGGTCTTAAACAACCCACCCAAGATACTTAAAAGTGCTTACTGAAACTTTAGGCCTCCAACATTCATTCAACTCCAGAAATAGGAGTAATTGAGGACTAATATGTGCAATTCTTGGGCAGGTTCCGGATGACGTTGCTTTTCATTCCCATCTTACTGCGCATAGCCTCCACTCCCGATCTTTTCATTTCCTTCAGTACCTTCATCCTGACCATTCGTTCTTTTGACTGCACAGTCGCCAACCCCATGCTCTTGTACCTGAAAATCAGAACACAACTTCTGTCACCACATGATTTGTTATCATTTTTTCCAACGTGAATATAGGGGAAGGCTCGATCCAAATTGTTTAGTCAACTGTCAAACTATAGAGAATACCCAGCATAAGGGATTAGAACAAACCTTGAGGCTAATGCAGCTGTAATGGCGGTACCATTTGTAGGTGATGGGCGCAGCTTCTGGCGATAATAGCGCAAATATTCCCGGGAACCAAGTGTTTTGGTTGATGTGCCATCATCAGATCTTCTAGTAATGATGAGCTCAGAGCCACCACTCCCAAGTTCTACACTGTTTGCCATATCACCTGATACAACCAATTGTTTGCCAGCCTCATCCACATAACTGAAAACCAAGACAGAAGCAGTTCAGCTAAGAGATACAAACACATACAGAAGAAAAGTAATGCTTACAATGAAAAACAGAACACAATAGCCATTGACAAAATTGAATAACCTGCTGCTGTAATCATAGAACTCTTCCAACTCGGCTTCTTCTTCATCGTCACCATCGCCATAATGTACCTTGCAATGGCTTTTTGCCGACATATGCTTCCTAACTGCTTCCAAACTGTTAAAAGGATGGCGCCTATCATTGCAATACAGACACATAAGATCCCTTTTAACCTGAAAATTTAAGACGCGAAGAGTCAACCAATCTCTGAAGAAAAAGCCAAAATGGGAACAAGTTTCTCCAGGAAAAGAACATAAAGGTATTTCAGTACCTTAAGACCAAGATAAGTAAGGAGGCCTTTTGGATCCTTTAAATACTCAATATCAGGAATGAAGAATCCATGTTGTTTGTGCATGTGAACCATGCAGCTTTCAATGGTATCATGCTCTAGATCGCACATAAAGCAACAGGATGGATCCAACTCCTCAAAGTCATCTTCATCCATATCCTCATTGGAGGCATGCTCATCTACGTTCATTTCAGTCAAAGATTTTGCAGTCTCACCAACCAAGTCTTCGTCAGAATCAACCTCCTCCCACTCATCTTCACTTTCTTCAGTTTCCTCATCACTTTCCTGTCTTTTGGGGGGAGCTTTATTCACAACACGACTGGGAAGTGGTCTAATTATTGCCTTCTCTTCTTGATCACTTGTCCCTTGAGAGGCCCTCAGAATGTGACTTCGTGATTTGAGATGCTCAGCATGAGCCTTAGAACTTCTATACCCTTTGCCACAAAGACCACAACTGTAAAGCATCGGGGTTTCACTTAAACCATTTTTCTCCTGGGCGAGGGCATCTTGTCTTGCTATAAATAATGTTTCAGTCACCCCGGGAACACCGGCTACCTGATTATTTTAAAGAATACTTCCGAATTTATTAAAGATAATCAAACATGTATGTAATAATGTAAGTGAACACGATTCTGCGCTACAAAGCAACAACAGCATGCCATAATATACAACAACATTCAATAAAAGAATTTCATCAAGTGAGTACTAACAAGACGACACCATTTGTAGCCAATGTCAAATTAATTAATCGCAAACCAAAATAGAAGACAGAATCTATAATCCCCCTGTGGGCAAAAGTGAATTTAAAGACAACTTCAGCTCAGCTTTATCAGACATGCCTGCATAAACTGATATTTGCTCATAGTCATAGACCAAAATCTTAGAATCCAAAGATTGGCATCTTAAACAATGAAGCATCCAAAAAGATTTCCAATATCTGTTTGAGATCCAATAAAAAAAGAAAGAAACTAAAACGCCTAACGAAACATATTTGCCCCAGAAAATTGGAATTCGTTTTCTTATTCCATCGTCTGGGAATTTCAAATCCCTTGCTTTTCCTATCTTAAACCAGCAGCAAATTGGGGCAGTAATCAACAAATTGAACAAAAACAATCAAACTAAAACCCTAGAAATGATATATACGCAGATGAAAGAAGATGAAAAATGGACGGTACCTTGCGCTTGAGATTGTAGCGGTGCCATTCAGACTTGTAATGGAGCTTTTGCTCCGCGTCGTCCGCCAACTCTTTGTTGCAGGCGTTGCATGTTAGGCCTGGCATTCTCTCTCTGTCTGGCTATGGAGCTTCGCGCTGAAGAGTCGATGCGATTTTTCGCAGAGCCAAAGAAATGTTTAGGTTTGGATTCGAAGGAGGCTGTTGCGATGGCTTTGTGGGTTTTGTTTTATGGGTCAAAGAAATGCGCGACGGCTCGCAGTCGGTCAGTTGGAAACGGTGCAAAGAGCGTCCACCAAGAGTTTGATTGCGCAAGCGCAACCCTCAGCATCAGAGAAGGTACTCATGGGCCTGAGTTTGGGCTCATACGTTTGAGGCCCAAGTTAAATCTGGCAAGGGCCCCTCCTCGCTATTGTTGTTATAGTTTTTTTTTCTTTCTATACAAACGATATTGAGAGAGAAATGATGGAATTTCTCAAACACACTATCAAAGTGTGGACTTCGAATATGAGACCGCTAATTTGCAAATCAAATCACTTTTACAAATAATTTATCAGTCAACGATCTTGATTTTATCAGTCATTTTTTAGTAATTTTGCATGTGTACGTTTCAATTGAAACCCACCCATCATGAGCATTTGGCTATATATTATTATGTGTTGCATGCATCAGCATATCATGACACCTATTGGACCTTGAATTAGTAACGTTTTCATTCTGATTATTGAATGTGATTTTGTGTTCTCTTATCTTGTCCTTGTTCAAAGAAAATATTGGACGAGTAACTTCTCAAAATATTAAGAGAGAGAGAAATCAAACTTAAGACCTCGAGTGCATAACTCTTGAGCTACAAACCACTTTGATAAATACTGTTATGCACCTACCTACATATATAATCCAAATCGTGAAGGTATGGCAGAAGAGAAACCACATCCCTCGAAAACCATTAATGCGTCAAGTCAATAATATAATATGTACTTGCATCATAGGGGACATGTTGATTTTTGTTTGTCTTTCTTTCTAAAAAACATAATTAATTTAACCCATTGGGAGATTAAAAAAAATTCAGAATATAACATGTTGAAGTAATTAATAAAAGAATAATTATGTGATGCTAGTAGCAAACT